GTTGGGATGATTTGATAAGCAGCAATAAATAAATAGTGAAATTGTGTCTTTTTTTTTTTTTTTTTACTTCCAGGAAAAGATAAACAGAGTCAAGAAAACATATGCTATGTCTACACTGACAAATCAATGTCTACCTGGTGCCAGGCTCTGGTCTATGTTACCATATTCTCAAACACATTTGGCAATAAGAATGACCTGGGGTGGGGTGTTGGCTAAACCTACAGATTTCTAAGCCCCATTCCTAGGTTTACAGTCAGACCCAGGAATTAGTAAGATCTACTAGCACCCCAGATAATTTTTATCACCTGGAAAGTTTGAGAAACAACTGCAGAATATGATGCAAAACTGAAGGTGATCTAGCCCTTCCTCAGGGGACAGTACAATATGGAGAACAAATTGATACACAAAAGTGCATTTAAAGAAAAATTCTAAGTGATAAGGAAGAAATAAAAATAAGTAGGAGAAATAAGGCATATTTCCCACAAGAAATGGCATGTAAGCAGGGTCTCTTAGATTGGTTAGGATCTCACAGAGCAAGATAGGGAAAGAATCAGTTACAGTAATAGCTGGCATTTCTCAGAAACCTGGCTAAATGCCAAACATTGAGCTAAGCACTTTACCTGCCTTACTTTGTTTAATAATCACAACAAGTTTATGATGTAGGAGCTATTGTCAACCCTAATTTACAAATGAAGAAAGTGGGCTTTGGTTACCACACTGCCCAAGATCACACAGGTCATGTGTGTAGAGCTAGACAGAAAGCAGGCAGGTGACTCTGAATCCCAAGCTCTTTACCACTGTCCTGTTCCATGTCTCAGGAAGCTTGAGATTCAGACTTGAAAGTGGTATGACATTTTTTTTTTTTTTTTTTTTTTGCAAATGACAGGAGTTTTGCAGGAATGATAGAACTTGTCCAGAGTGGGATGCAGGCCCCAAGAAGATACTGCATGAACTATTAGAATCTGGTTGTGATTTCTTAATGCAAGCACAACTCATCCATTTTATTAGTAAGAAAATGGAACCCCAGAGAGGTTATGTGACTTGCCTAAAGTCACACAGTTCAACAGTGGCAAAGTGAAATAACAGTCCAGATCCTGGGCAGCATCTTTTCCATTATGGACAGCTGGAGGCCAATCATGGATAGACACTGGATGTACGCCTTGCTAAAGAGATCTGAGCTGTTCTAAGGGACAGGTATTTTTGCAAAATACACATAAAACTCACCAATTTATACTTTTTCATCATCTCAAACAGAAAGTCTGAACCTATTAAACAAACCCCATCGTGCCTCCCTGCAGCCTCTGGAAACCACCATACTTACCTTCTGACTCTGAATTTGTCTGATCTAGATGTGGAATCATACAAAATTTGTCTTTTGGTGACTGGCTTATTCACTTAATATAATGTCCTTAAGGTGCACCCATGTTATAGCATATATCAGAATTTCCTTCCTTTTTGAGGCTGAATTTCATTACATATTTACATTTACATATATCACATTTTGTTTGCCCATTTGTCCACTTCTATTGCTTCCATGATTTGGCTATTGTGAATAATATTGATAATGTACAAATACCTCATACATTTTTTTTAGATATACACCCAAAAGTAGAAATGCTGAATCATATGGTAAGTCTATTCTTTAAAATTTTGAGGAAACACTATACTATTTTCCAAAGTGATCACATTATTTAATATTCCCACCAGTGTGGTACACTAGAATTCTGATTTCTCCACATCCTCACCAACATTGTTATATTTCACTCCTTTTAAAGGCTGAATATTACTCTACCGTATGTACACATCATGTATTTTGTTTAAACGTTCATCAGTTGGACATTTGGGTTGTTTCCACCTTTGGACCATTGTGAATAGTGAACATTGGTGCACACACATCTGAATTCCTGCTTTCAATTTTTTTCTAGTTATATCCCTTGGTGTGGAATTGCTGATCATACGGAAATTCTATGTTCAAGGTTTTGAGAAATCTATAGGATTTTGAAGGAGATCCGTGTTCTGGAAGTCAGCTCTGGTCGTCCCTACCTTCTTCTGAGCAGACCTCCCTGGGGGCTGAGGAGACCTTTCCTTTCTCCGTGGTGCCCCCGTCGCCTCGCTTTGCTCTCTAGAAAGTAGATCTCAGGCAGCTGATGATGAAGATGACCCTGGCGCTCCGCTGGGCTCCCTGGAGAGGATGAGGTTTGGGCCAGTCCTCGCATATCCTGTGAGGGTCATGTTGTGGGCAGCAGAGGAGGCTCCTCCCGGTCCTTTGAAAGCTCTAGGCTCAGCCGGGGCCCTGTCCGCCCGCCCACTCTGGTGGCCGCGCTGGGTGGTTCGGTCAAGTGAAGCGGCGTGGAGCCGGGTGCCCTGGGGCGGGCACACCCCCGGCAGGCTGGGCGCAGAGCCCTGCTCAGAGCGTGGCGCCCTCCTTCCCGCCCGAGGCGGCCGTTCCGGAGGCTGAGCCCGGGGAACGCACCGCCCGCCTGGGCTGCCTCCCTCCAGCGCGTCCCCGCCGCGAGCTGCCGCCTCTGCGTCCCGGACACAACGGCCGAAGGACGACCCCCGGCTCCCAAGCCCCGCGTGTGCCCGAGAGACCCCCGCGTGTGCCCGAGTGACCCCCGACGTACCCCTACTTCGAGAGGGGACCCTGCCACCCCCCGTAGCCTGGCGCCCTGGTCCGGAGCTCACCTTTCGGAGCCCCCGCCGCCCCGCGACCACCGGGGGCGGGGACAGCGAGTGCGGGGCGGGTTCCAGAGGGGGTGGCCTCGCTGCGGCTCTCCCCGTCTGCCGCGCTAGAGACAGCGCAACTCCCTCCCTATCCGGGAGAGATCCTCCAGAGGAGAAGGAGAGAGGGGACTTGTCCCCGCCAGCGGGTCTCTGAAAGCCTGTACTATCCCCGGCCCTAGAATGAAGAAACCTGACCCTCGTCCGCTGGGCGCCGAGATGCCGCAGGTACTGAGCGCGCTCTCCGGGGAGATGCTCCAAAGACCCCAAGTGGTACCAGCCCGCAGAGGCCGGCGTGGTGAGGGTGATGAAGCCGGAGCTTTTGAATGGGGAGGGGACTTTTCCAGGGACTGGACTGCGTTCGTTTCTTCGGGGAGCCAATCTGCCCCCTCCCTCTTTCTTTAGGCATAGCCACCTAGGCTCCTAGGAGAAAGTTGGGAGCAGGAGAGAGTTTATCAGCAAGCGCTGCAAAGGGACGCTTCCAGCGATCCAGAGGACAGCGGAGGATGGGAACTGGGGTCCTCCTTGAGGGCTGAGAATACAGGGGAAAGGATCCCTGAGCAATTTCTCTTCCAGTCCTTAATCTCCTAATGCCTTAGTCTCCCCCCCCCCCCCCACCGCCCTTTAGAAGTTTCTGCTATTCTTTGTTCTAAATCCTGACTTTGAGCCTTCCTGGTAGGTGTTTGTAGGGTACCTCTCTGGAGGTGGAATGCCTCAAAGACACAGAGATTGCAAGCGGTGAGATGTGTCCCAGGGTATTGCAGCCCTGCCTTCCTGGCTTCCAAGCCTGACCCTTTTGGCTTTTCATCTCTGGGTTCTGCCTCACACCTGACAGAGACAGAGAGCAGGGATGAGATGGACCGAAGTGATAACTCAGAGAAAAGGCCAACTCAGGGTGAAGAACAGGGAGGGGGAGGCAGCAGTGGGTCTAAACTTCATTGAGGTGCAGAGGGAATTTAACCCTCCATAAAGACATGCTCCAGATGTCTTGTCTTTTTGAGGAATAAGGCAGCAGGATTTTGGGGGGTTCTTCTTTATGTCCCCCCTTTCCAGGAATTTAGATTTGCTATTCTTCTCCCTCCCGTTCTCCTGAGCTTTAGGATGCTCTCCAAACCTAGCCCTTCTCTTACATCCAGCTCCCTGGCCTGATGTCTTTGGCTGTGGAAGGGACTGCCCAAAGAAGGGACAGGGAACTCTGGCTTCCTCTCTTTCCCCATCCCAGCCCCAGTATGTGGTGTGGGGTCTCTGCAGCAGGATTTCCCTCCCCATATTTGCAGCTGGCTGGGAGGCCTGAGTGCTCAATAGTAATTCCTTGAAGTTCTGGGGTGTAACACTCTCCCTCTCCAGGGAGCTCCATGCTTTACAGACGATATTGATCTCCTGTCTGGAGGATGTTGAAACTCTGAGTGTTTAAGCTATTTACCTCAGGACATGCAACCAGCCAAGGAAGGAATTTGTTTTCAGGTTCTCTTTATAACTCACTCATTTAGTGACAGGCTGTGACTTCCACCCTGCAAGCTTCTGCCTGGGGACAGGTCTGGAGAAACATGGTATCCAGCTTCTAGGGTCACAACAGATTTTGATGTAGGAACAGGAAGCCCAGGGAGGAGAGAGCTCTGTGATTTTTACAGCTGTGTTTTGCCAGAAGAATAGCTCAGAAGAGCTGATGGGGTTGTCTCAGAGTGTTCACTCTTCAGTGGCATACAGAGGAGTTTCTTTTGAGCCACTGGAAAGGATCTGTGGTTACCACACAGGACTATTGGTCTGGCTTTTAGGATAGTGAGTGGACTTTGAAATAGGTCACTTCTATTCCATTCAGTTGCCCCACACTCCCAACTTTGGTCCTTGAGAAAGAATGCATCATTTTTTTTTTTTTTGAGTGGAATGGAAATAAATGGAAGCACAGCCTCATTATCTCTACAGCAATCCAGCATTCTCTAATTGAGTGAAGATGTGGTTTTCATTCATTTGTTTTCTCTCACTGGTTCCTTTATTTCCACTCCATCACCCTATCTATGTTCACTCGGAGCAGGTGGCTAATGGGTCTGCTTAGGTTACAGAATGATTTTAAATCCAGCCAGGTTCACTTCAACATGCAGCCAACTATTTGTGTGTCTTTTAAAGGCTTAGAATGGAGCTCGGATACTGCACCCCAAGGATGCTGGCAGGGACACTGACTCATTAAGGGAGAGCAGAGCATCAGCAGAGAGAGGGGACATCAGCCTGCAGAGATTTCTCCGGAATTCCCAGCAGTATCACTTAGAGCTCCGCAGGGACAGATGGAGATCACTACGGGGGTCGTGGATGAGAATGTCACCAACTCCTCCACCAGTTTCCTCTCTGTACTCAACCCCTATGGAGCCCACACAGCTTCCTTTCCATTCAACTTCAGCTATGGTGACTATGACATGCCCTTGGATGAGGATGAGGATGTGACGAACTCCCGGACATTCTTTGCTGCCAAGATTGTCATTGGCATGGCCCTGGTGGGCATCATGCTGGTCTGTGGCATTGGCAACTTCATCTTTATTGCCGCCTTAGCCCGCTCTAAGAAGCTGCGTAACCTCACTAACCTGCTCATCGCCAACCTGGCCATCTCTGACTTCCTGGTGGCTGTTGTCTGCTGCCCCTTTGAGATGGACTACTATGTGGTGCGCCAGCTCTCCTGGGAACATGGCCATGTCCTGTGTGCCTCTGTCAACTACTTGCGCACCGTCTCTCTCTATGTCTCCACCAATGCCCTGCTGGCCATCGCCATTGACAGGTGAGTGCAGGGTAGTTGGGGGAAACAAAGTTAGTCAGGGAAGAGGGGCCATTGGAATGATCCCTTCCTTTATTGCAGTTGCAGGCATGAGGCACTCAAAAGTTTCCCCATTGACTGGACAGTTGGAAGATTTCCAGCTTTGGTGAGACAGGAGGCAGAGTTGGGCACTTTGGAGCTGGGCAGTAAGAAGGCATCTGGTTTGCCTGCTGTGGACCTGCTCATAGATGTTGTACCAGTTCAAGGTTAAGAGTAGCCATAAGAGATGTTCAGGAACAAGTTTAAGTTCCAAGTAATTATTTTAATATCTTAGGAGAAGTTTCTATCTCCTCAAGACTTCCTCTTCTAACACACGACCTCTTAGCACTAATTGATGGCTCATTGATTGAGGGAATTGTTTGGAAAAGAAACAAGGCAACCTATGCTTCCTTATTTTGTTTGTTGTGGTTACATGAATGGCTTTGTGCCTTCAAACCCATTTGCATGCAGCTCGGCAAGAGACCCGTTTTTAGAACTGGTAAATAAAATCAATAAGAGCAATCTTGGCAAACCTTTCTTATATTTAGTTGTTTCATTGGTATACACTTGTGCTAAATGGGCCAGAGTGGTCCTTGTTTCCTGGGGAGGTCTTTGCAAGCTCCTCTGCCCACTTTGACTTTCATTACAAAGCACCTTGTTACATCTAAGACAGTAACCCTGAGGGTCAAATCAAGACTCTGTGTACTTGGAGCTGAACAATCTGCTTCCCTGTATATCCAGAGAACCTAAAGCACCCACGCTTGTCCTGTCCCATTGCCTCAGGGCTCCTGGGTGTTCCATCTGCCTCTCACAGTTCAGGCACCCCAGATCAGTGATCAAGCGAGAAGCACAGCTAATAGAGTATGCTTTCTGAAGCTAGGGACAAGGTAATCAAAGTGGAATAACCTGGAAAAAGTCTGTTCTTAAGGAAAGAGACTACAGAGGAGCCTGGCTTTAAAACCACTGAGTGGGCAGCCACTGAAGAATGTCAGGGAGTTAGTAGCTGAAATGGCTTTTGGTCTGTCACCTAGAGCAGGTGCTTGGAGGTATCATTCTTTCAGATGGCAGCCTCACCTTGGTCATGGTCTTCCACACAAGTGGCAGAGCCCCACAACATTTGTCCACTTAGGCAAGGACTCTATAGCAGGAGGGTAGCGATCAAGCACAGTATTCACCTAAGTTTCCTTTCAGAGCTACTGAGGAAGAGCTCCAGGGATTTGACTTCTAACCTTTTCTGAAAATGGAAACTGTTCCCTTTACTTCTAAAGACAAAGAATATGGGGTTGTTTCCTGAACTTTCATGCTAGCAAGACATATTTGCCCCCGGGTTTCTCTGAGCTACAAAAAGGAGTGTAAGTAGGTACCTGCTATGGAGTGGGGCCTTGTTCCCTGAGTGAGATCCATCTCACCACGGAAGGCCCACTTGTCATCAGATCTGACAACCATAGGAGGGCTTCAAGGGAGAAAGAAGTTAGGATAAACTGAAGGGCACTGGGTTATCTTTAACATGTGGAGGTATTATCTTTGTCAATCAATCAACCTCAATCCACTGAACTCCTCCAAGCTCATATCCTAATTTCATACCAAACTCAGCTTGTCTGAAATACTGTGAGCATTTCTCTTGCACCGTGAGTTGACATAATACAGATTAGATGCAATAAGAAAGAGGAATTGAAGAGCATACTTTACACTGAGCACACTGCTATTGTTCAGAGTGGGATGTCTATCCCAATGCATCCAGACATTGGTGGAAAACAAGGTGTACTGACACTGCCATCCAAGGCCTGGCCTGACTGACCAGCTGCCTAAGGCATTAATTTTTTTTAATTGATATTTTTTTATTTTTGCTTCAAATTATGTTTTTGTAAAAATGCTGCTATCATGTAATTTAAATTTTGTGGCCTAGGAATCACTGATTTTTGTCTGTTCCTTTGTGATGTTCAAAATCCTATGAGTAATCTTCAGGTTTAATTTGGTTAGCTCAAGGCAACTAAATTCTTATCTTGGTGTAACACACACCTTGACAGTTTGTAAAAATGCCTTTATTTTTGTTTAATGGAATTTCTGTAGAAATAGTGTTAGCCGTTACTCGGGTTTGAATTCCTACTGTAACACCTATTTGTTGTAAGGCCTTGGTTTTTTGACCGATATCTCCCTCAGTTTTCTCATCTACAAAATGAGGACAATAAGAAAATCTAATGTATTGCATTTCTTTGAGGATTAAATGGAGTAATCTGTGTAATTGCTTAGGACAATGTTTAAGATAGAGTAAGCATTAAATGAAGAGTATATCAGATAATTCTTATATTAATCTCCTTTCAAAGAACAAGAACCACAAAACCAGGTAAATTAATGAATATTTTCAATTGGCTAACCTTTTTGGTCTTCACTGAAACAATTGTTTCCATGTGCTTTACACAAAATAATAATATAAGAATTTTAAAATATGTAACTCTCAAGATATGGCAGAACAGAATTATGTATTTTCTACCTGTTTGGATTTCTGTTTTAACTTTTTTTTTTTTTGGTACCAGGGATTGAACCCAGGGATGCTTAACTAGTGAGCCACACCCCCAGCTCTATTTAATATTTTATCTAGACACAGGGCCTCCTTGATTTGATTAGAGCCTCACTAAATTGCTGAGTCTGGCTTTCAACTCTTGATCCTCCTGCCTCAGCCTCCCAAGCTGCTGGGATTACAGATGTGTGCCATTGCACCTGGCTCTGTTTCTTCTCTCGATTCTGTTGTTCAAACTAGAGGGCTCCTTTATCCTTGTCCTTCTGTTCTCCAACATTCTTTCAACTTCCAGGTCCTGGTAAAACTTACTCCTGCCCCCTACCATGTTCATGTAGGTTGGGCCATCCTAGTCTCACCTTGGCCTTCCTGACTTCAGTGTCTCTTGACTCTGCCTGTCTGTCAGCCCCTCCATTCATAATCCATCCTAAGCATTCATTCCCTCATGCAGGCATTCATTCAAACAAGCAGTTACAGTGACTGCCACGTGACAAGTATGATTCCAAGGATTAAGGATATGATTAAAAAAAAAATTTTGCTTTCATGGAATTTATGTCCAAGAGACACAAGGGATGGAGAGAAATGACTGTTATAGGCAAAGCCTTAGGAAGCACAGACTGTTATAGTCCAGCCTTAGGAAGCACAGATGCCCCCTGGACCCTTCATCAGTTGGGGACAGCTACCCCAGGAAGCAGGTGGTACACTCTGCCCATCCCATGACCAGGCCAGTAGCTGCTGCAACCATTACCATGGCTGCATGGGGTTGAGTCCTGGGGACAGAAAGGGAGCCAATCTTGTGCTTGATCACCCTGCCCACTATCTCACAGACTACTTCCTGGGCATTACTTTGTCCAACAGGCTTTATTCCTTATTCTCCTGGAACTGTTGGCTTTGGGTGGATCTGGACCGAAGCCATTGAGGTTGGAGATGCAGAGGGCAAGCAAGGTCATGCTCATAAGTTGAGAAAAGTAGTTGTCAATTGTCTGCTTCCTGGAACATCAGTGGGTAAAACTCAGCATGATGGAGGGAAAGGTGAAGGGCTGCTGAGCTACTGGGAAGGTGGAGGAAAGGGCACTGTTTGTTCTTACTGAAAGTAAAGGGACAAATGGCATATTGAAGAGGCCTCCAGATTTGTAGCAATATGTCATGGCTCTTGTCAGTTTCTAGCTGTGTGGCTTTTAGCAAGTTATTTCACTTCCCCAAGCCTTAGCTTACTCATCCATAAAATGGGTATCTTTGCTCTCTTACCCTTCTAATAGGGTTGGGCTTGCCTGATGAAAATATAGATTTGAAAAGTCTCTATAAATTGTAAACTTCTTTACAAACAGAAGCAAGAATTACTAATACTAGAGTCATTTCTGACCTTCACCCAGCCAAGACTGATGGGAATCCCTGAAACTCTTTTCTGCAACTTACTAGGTGGTAAGTGTATGAGGAATGTCCTTTGCACAGCTCATGACACTGATCCTTTAGGGATGGATTTGGGATGATGTCAGAGACAGTCAGGATAAAATAACCTTGAAGGTTAGTTTTGAAGTGAAGGTTTGGGTTCAGTAAAGTAGAAAGTTGTCGAGGACTTGCAAAAGCAAAATTTATCAAGAACATTGTTGTGAATACAGAATAACTTTGAAAAATAAAAGTGATTTTAAGGTACTAATAGCTTCTTGTATATTAATAGCTTATTGTTGTTTATATGCAGTAGCTCATTGGAACCTCACAATATCAGGGTGATATCTCCAGTTTACAGATGAGAAAATTAAACCAACAGCGCTAAGAAAAAAGACTGAAATTGATATAGCAAGTTGCAGCAAATCTGGGACTAGATTCTTGGTCTTTTGAGGTTCTAGATGGGGTTCTGGCTTGCGTATTCATTAAAAAACATTGAATTTGATTCATCATAAAGAGTTAGGAAGCTACTATTGGGAGAAGAAACAGAAAAAAGTCATATTGTGAACACATACGAAGGTAGAAATTTTCTGTGACAACCAGCAGAACCCTGTGAGGTAAATAGAAAGCAAATGCACCCATGAGAACAGAACTCCACACTCTTAATTTTAATGGCAAATCCAAGCACATTTGATGTTCCTGTAATATTGGGAGCATTGTGGCCTTTGATGAAACGCCTCACGCATGTGCAATGGTCAAAATGTTGTCAATATTCTGTGGTTATTTCCATTCCATTTTCAGTACTAAGTAGCTGGCTAGAGTGCCGGGGATGGATGCGGGTGGCCAGGGCAGCCAGCTGGGTGTCCAGTACGTAGACTCAACCTATCCAGCATCATTTAACATCTTCTGGGAGCTGGAAGAGAGCAGGCATCTCACTCCAGTGACCTCTCAAATATACTCAATGGCTTTGGCTGCCTATGTCATGTGGGGAGGGATGGAAGTAAGAGAACTACAATCAGGGGAAAAAAATTTTAAAAAAATGAAGCTCTCTTTAGTTTACAATCCCAAGAAACATGACCTCAAAGGGATCGGTTTCAAAGGAAACAGAACTGGTTTGGCCTTCCTTCAGGCCCCTGTCACATTTGCACTCCATTCTACCTGGGATAAGCTGTGGACACATGAGAACATGTTTATTTCCAGCATTGATTTGTCCTTCCCTCCCACTTCACTTCCCATTTTTCTCCTTCTCCAACTTCCACTCCCTACCAGGCACAGAAAGCCTTCCAGGAAACCAGAGCTCTTTGCAGAAGTGTGTGCACCCTCTGGAAAGGCTACTGTCATACCACACAAATGACTAACGGCCCCCAGAAAGTGCTCTCTCCTTCCTGGACCACTGTGGTAACTGCAATGTGGGTTCTTTTGGAAAGAACAAAAAGCAATATCTTTTATTGTCTGATGCTTTGTGGTTAAAAAAAAAATACATTCGTGTATATTCTCAATTGATTTTCACATCAACCCTGTGAGGTAGGGTTAAATGTTTTCTATCAAGGGTCTTGTGTAGATGACCTTGAGAAGTCACTCATCTCTCAATAGACTCCATTTTCCATCTGGAAAATGAGATAAATGGCAATGTGCATTTCCTCCACCCCTGCATGCAGAGCAATATATATATATTTTTTAAATGTGGGATGAAGACAAAGCTTTGCTTGCTGCTTCTACTGGAAAGGGTGAGTTCTCCCAGCAACTCTTTGGAGTTATCCGGCCTATTGTCTCTTAACCTCTTGATAATTTGGATGCATGTCCTGAAAACCGGAAAGACCTGGGAATAGTGCCAGACTAGAAAATTGTGGCCATTTTTTTTCATTATATACCAAGTTTAAAACGTCTTCCAGGAACGAGTATACATTATCACATCTAATCTTTAAAAACAAATACTTTTGCAGGAAAGGAAACTGAGGTTAAGAGATTAAACAAAACCGACTTGAGGCTGCCCAGCTAATTAGAGGTGGAGCCAGGGCTTGCTATCGAGTCTGCCTTTCCCCTGCAAAAAAATTAAATGGTACCCCAGCATTGGCTTCTCACAGGGCATGATTCTATTTGTGTTTTGCCCCAGGTATCTGGCCATTGTTCACCCACTGAGACCACGGATGAAGTGTCAAACAGCCACGGGCCTGATTGCCCTGGTGTGGACAGTGTCCATCCTCGTCGCCATCCCATCTGCGTATTTCACCACGGAGACGGTCCTCATCATTGTCAAGAGCCAGGAGAAGATCTTCTGTGGCCAGATCTGGCCGGTGGACCAGCAGCTCTACTACAAGTCCTACTTCCTCTTCATCTTTGGTATCGAGTTCTTGGGCCCGGTGGTCATCATGGCCCTGTGCTATGCCAGGGTCTCGCGCGAGCTCTGGTTCAAGGCGGTCCCCGGGTTCCAGACAGAGCAGATCCGCAAGCGGCTGCGCTGCCGTCGGAAGACCGTGCTGGTTCTCATGTGCATCCTCACCGCCTACGTGCTGTGCTGGGCGCCCTTCTACGGCTTCACCATCGTGCGTGACTTCTTCCCCGCGGTGTTTGTGAAGGAGAAGCACTATCTCACCGCCTTCTACATCGTGGAGTGCATCGCCATGAGCAACAGCATAATCAACACCCTGTGCTTCGTGACCGTCAAGAACAACACCATCAAGTACTTCAAGAAGATTATGCTGCTCCACTGGAAGGCTTCCTATAATGGAAGTAAGTCGAGCGCTGACCTTGATCTCAAAACCATGGGGATGCCTGCCACTGAAGAGGTGGACTGCATCAGACTGAAATAATCCAAAGGACCTTGCCAAAGTTTAAACCCAAGACAGGATCTTTGGGTCCTGGATCAGTGTGCTTGGATATACACATGGACCACCGATTCTTGGTTTTCTGCAGAGGACAAATTGAATGTGTCATGAGGACACTGTGTTCAAGGAGCTCAGGATTTCGAAAACTGATGTGACAAGAGACTGTCATTAGTAGTCGACATTCATTAAATGCCTAATTTGTATGATGAGTAGGCACTGGTGAAAACTAACATGTTGATGATATTTCGTTGACGAAATAGGCATTAAACCAAGGAAAATGTGGCGAAGACTCTGGAATAAAGAGGGAGCTGGAGCGAGTATCTAGGAGCACAGTACATGTGTGGACAGCATGAAGATCTCTCCAGGTCATTGCAGCTACTCATCATATACTGGTCGAGCTTCATCTCTAAGAGTACTCTTAGGCTTGAGTTCACTCCTAACATTTTCAAGGCTGGGGAAAGAATGCAATGGAGGGTCCCATCTCATCTCATCCCTGGTTCTGACCCTCACTGGGAGCAGCCCTGCATGCCTGCACATAGAAACCTGAGGATTCATGGCCAAGTTCATGCAAACTCCCCCTTCCCCTGCCACACAATGCCTCATGTATGGATCTGCATAGACATAAGGCTTATCATCAAGAGGGTGGACATGAGGAAGAAGCCACAAGACCCTGGACACCATTTGGACAGTGAATTGTAGAGTTTTGAATCTTTGGGGCAAGTCTGGAGAAGGGAAGCCTGGGCTCAGGGTGGGAGTGGCTCCATGGACTATTCACCCCTGGGTGAAGGGAAATGCAGAGGGAAGAATCAAAACAGGACTTCTAAAAGCATTTGGGGCTCAGGGCAGGGGCTTGAGTTCTTTGGGTATAAGGATACTGCATCTTTGCCTCTCAGTTATTCTGGCCTAAACCTATTTGGGCTTCTCATTCAACCCTTTCCTTCTTTCTTATGTATCCATGCCTGTCCAACATGGAAGTTTTGAAAGTTGACACAACACCTCATGGATGTGGCCAACAACCTATGTGAGAAAATGCTTCTGACCATACAAAACACCAAGAAAAAACAAAAAAAAGAATAATAATTCTGGGTAATGTGCTGGGACAAAGAAAACCCTGTTACATTGCCATCTCCTTCTTTCAGTATCCTTTCTGTGAATTATTCCCCTACTTTTTTTTTTTTTTTAAAGCAGAGCCTCATGCATTCTGTTCCTAAAAACATGGTACAAGCACAGCTGTGGGACTTGGAAGCAAAAACTTGAAGGGAATGGTGATAGGCCTCCAGTCAGGAGCTGGGCGCAGGGTGTTGGAAACTCCCAAAATCAAAGCATCTTCATGATTCTGGAAGTAATGACCGATCTTCCCCTGTGTGTTCCCAGTCAGCATGAATCTGTGTGATATAATAATGTTTCTCCATCTGCTTTTATTCTCATGAGTGTGTAGACCTACAGAGTGGACGTGTCTTGTCCTTCTTGTTGAATTCTAGAGCAGAACATTTTTGAGGCTGGGATTCCTGGGTCATGTTTTCTCTCCAAGTATAGTCAACTCTTTGTTTTAGGCAGCAAAGTTTATTTTTTCTTTATTTCCATGGAAAACACATCTCAAAGACCTATATATTCTCATTCATCACCCAACCGAATTACTCTACAGTTTAGTTAGAATTTTCTAGGAAAATAAAAGTTAACTAAATTATTAGCCTAAACCAAGCACACATTGGAAAGAATATCTTATTTTTCTAATAGAATCACATATTACATTCTAAAAATAACTAGTTAGCTTTTGGATTAAAAAATAATAAGATAATGCAATTTATGGACATTATGGTTACCATGACTTTTAAGAATACTAAACAAGAGTTGACTGTATTAAATAGAAAGGTTTTTTTGGGTTTTTTTTAAAATATGACAACAAAATTCCTTTCTGCTTTTCAGCCTAAAATGTATCAAATTTTTCAGTTGTTTAACTGTCTGTGATATTTCTGGGTATTAGTGTCTGCTTGTGATTTTATAGTGAATGAAAGTGTTACTATTCAGTGAAATAAAAATAGATGTATATATAGGATGATTGACCATACAGTTCCTATAATTTCTCTCTCCTGCCTATCTGTTTCCTAGCTGTAGTAGACAGTCTTTGAGTGAATATCAAGTCAATTCCATGATCATATGAGCTGTGAGAACAGTGCTACCTCATGCTCTTATTGCCTACAAACTTCCCCTTGCCATCCTGAAGAGATGGAACTGATTTAATGTATCCGCTTCCGTTAATTCTGCACTGGTAAAAATATGAATGCTTTTTAACATCTAGGTGCCAAGACTTGAAATCTGAGGACCAGTTGATGCTGATTATGTAAGCTAGGGCAAACCCTTTGAACAGGCTCCATGCCCACACACACAAAGTGAACAAGACAGGAACATACCATGCCTGCTGTGTTCAGATTCATCGAACTGGCTACTCAGCTGCTGGCTTCTCCAGAAAATGGTGGTGAGCCCAGCAAGGTGACACGTAGGATTATGTATTTCTTTTCAGTTCTCAAAATATTTTAATGCACAAAGACATACTCACATGGTCCTATACAGAAGCATAAAGACTTGATTTTGTAAAATTAAATGATTTTCATAGCTAAAAATTAAAAGATAAGGACAGATTTAGAGTAAAAGCTTTTGCCTGCTTAGTGCCTATTTTCAAAACAGCTTCTTAAAGACACTAAAACAAGGCAATGCGGTGGTCACTACAGCAAGCTCTGAAGCATGACACAAGTTCCATGCTCATTATGGAAAATAATGCTAAGGAATTGGCGAGACGGCCAAGAAATTATAAATAGGAGTCCTGTTTCTTGAAAAATAAGATAAATTTTGGGATGCATCCACAAAGAAGGAGTCCAATTCTCCTTCCTAGAGTGTAAGGGAGAATATCAAATTCAAAACATTTGTTTCATGGTCAATGAAACTGAACTCCAGAATGGGGAAGAGAGATGTTCAGGGTCACACAGCTGGTCACCGTGAGAGCCAGAGATAGAGCCCAAGGCTCCTGAAGCTTAGTGCAGGATTCTTCTACATGCCTGCCTATCATTTCATGCAAGAGCATCAAAATCTTAGAAAGGAAGGATCTTTGCCAAGAATCCTTGAGGTGACTGTTCCACCCCGGTCTGGCCCTCTTTGGAGACCCTTAAGCAGTTTAGCAGAGACATTTCTGGCTCCTTTGCAAGCCAGGTTTAGCTCATTCTACCCCTGGGAACTCAGCACAGACATGGAGGATGGGAGGGTTTAGGGGGAAAGAAAAATGCTTAGATGTGTTCATAGCTGCTCTTTCTCTAAGATACCTAGTTGTGGGTCCCTAGGAATATCAAAGAAAGATACTAAACAGCTGTGTGCCTTAGGGAGCAGAGGAAAGGGATGCAGAAGCCATGCTTGGTGGCATGTCTAGACTGGCAGGCAGGCCCTATGTGCCAGGGTTCAGAGGCTTCAGATGCCAAGTTACCTCCTGCCCCTGCCATTGAGGATAAGCGAGGCGGGGGAGATTTTTGGATGATGTAGAACTTCAACTGGACAAGTGAGAACTAGAAGCAAAAACGAAAGCATTCACTTGGGAAAAGAAATGTTTCTTTTTTGTGCTCCTAGAATCTGGAGTTGCTTTTCACCAGGGAAGGATTTCTTATACAATGATGGATTGTCGTCCCTGAAGAGGTGACCCAAACCCCCAAAAACACAACTAAATAAGGGTTATCTGAGCCTCACCTGAGAGTGGGTTTTGCTAAGAGGAGAAAGGGGGGAAGAGAGAGAAACTGGCCTTAGGAAGCAGACCTGTATGATGGGGTGAGGGAAGCATCCATCTCCAGAGGGAAACAAGAGAAGGGGTGTACAGAGGAGGTTACTCAAAACAAGAGTGGCTGCAGGATCATTGGACTGAGCTGTATATGTCATAGGACTCCTCGGTCTAAGTCTTCACCCAGCCTCCTAGCCCTTTATACAGAAGAGGAGGTCGAGTCTCAATGCAGAGTGGTTTTTTGAGGTCACGCAGGCATTGAATGGTGGGCAGAGATCTGAAGCTAGGCAGCTTGACTCCAGAGCTTGTCACTCTGCTACAGCCTTTAAGTGATTTTTCTGGGCCTTCCTTGAACTTTTTTTATTTTTTGGGGTATCAAGGATTGAAACTAGGGGTGCTCTACCACGGAGCCTCTTCCCCAATCCTTTTTATTTTTTAATTCTGAAACATGGTTTTGCTAAGTTGCTTAGGGTCTTGCTAAGTTCCTACAGCTGACCTCTCCAATTTGCAATCCTTCTGCCTAAGCCTCTGAAGTTGCTGGAATTACAGGCATGCACCATCCTGCCTAGCCTTCCTTGGACTTTCTAGCAAACTAAATACATATTCCAATCAATAAATGGTAAGTCAGCTCCTAAATTAACCATATTTTCTCCAAACCAGTATAGCACAACTCCCTCTTTCTCTTTTTCTTTTTTGGGAAGTTTTATTTGCCCTCAATACATGCCCCTAGTGCAGATGTCCTTAACTTACCTCTGAGTTCCTCGGAGTTTTTTTTGTTTTTGGCATTTAGTGATGTTTCTAGCCCCTTTTTAAAATAATATTTTCAAATTTATATAATAAAATACATAGAGCTACAAAAGAAATCAATTGTATTGAAATTCAGTTATCAAAATATTTTGAAAGTTTGTGATAAAATTACATAAATATTTATTTCTATTATATCTCTTTATAGTACATCTTTAATGCCTTAAGTAAGATTCAACATCAAGGCTATTAGCTACCATAGTTTTTTTTTTTTTTTTTGCTGGGGTGGGGAGGTTCTGGGGATTGAACTCAGGGGCATTTGACCACTGAGCCACATCCCCAGCCCTATTTTGTATTTTATTTAGAGACAGGTTCTCACTGAGTTGCTTAGTGCCTTGCTTTTGCTGAGGTTGGCTTTGAACTCGTGATTCTCCTTCCTCAGCCTCCCAAGGGCTAGGATTACAGGCGGGCGACACTGTGCCCA